TATCTATTTATTCCTAAATTGATTTACCTAAAATTATTTTTTCCAATCTTATAAACCTCATTATAAGTACTTTCTTGTGGACCCGTCTTTTTTACTAAATTTATAAAGGAAAATATTGCATCTAGAACGTCTTGCTGATGTTTTACTCCTTCATAAGTGAGTTCTACTGTAATCTCGAATAAGACATACATAGAGTTGTATCCGAAACCATTATCGTTATCACAATAACCACAGAACACATCAAAGCCCCACCTTTTTTTACGTAGATAACTAGTTAAAGAATTATTTCCTTTATGTTCAATAATCCATGAAATATATTTATATGGTTTACTTCTGTATGAATCAATTGTAGGCAAAGCCCATGTTACATGTAGCTGTAAAACACAAGTTTTATTTTTATGCATTTATTCAGTGAACACAGCTTTTTTTTTAATTTATGTGTCCAAGTTACATACGTGGGTGATTTCTTGGCTGAAGGGTTTAATATGATACATTTTTTTGAAAGTGTCAGTATTAAATGAAACGCCGTCTTTAAATTCGGTAAAATCATCGGAAGGCAGCCAATTACTTGGTATATTACTGAAAAAGTTTGCAACATATACTTCCAAAGTATCTAGCGATAATCTCGCCTATAAACGGATATATCATATTATGAATTAATTATGTTTAATAAGAAATCAATTGTTCATCGCAATTTAACATATTATAGTTACCTGTATAGCTAGCGTCATTCTGTGAGCGCTATAATGACGCTTTCTGAATTTGTGTAGCTCTTCATACAACTTATCATCATCTATATTACTGTGTAACGTTATTAAATTGCTCCAGAACATCTTATTGGGCGGATGACCGGTTCGAGCAATAAAAGATAATAATTGTTGCTTTGTATTTTTGTCACTAGATGAACCCCACCGAAACTCTATGTGAACATGGAACATTTAAAAAGCCGCAAGTTTTAGCAACAACATTACTATTAGGATTTATTTACCCCTTTGTATGACCTTTCGTTCCCTCTTGATGGCATCTTTCTTCATCAAGGGTCCAATGAAAAATTGTACAAAACGATCGAGAGCTACAAACAAATGTTTCTCTGAAATATCAAAGTAAAATCTTGTATGCTCACAATCCGTTGCGCCATCAATAGTGCCACCATGGAGACTAATAAATTCATTAAAACCGTTTTCCTGAAAATACAGTGATATTTAAAGATTTAAACGTACAAATAGTATATTTTATAATAAATTCACTTATTGCATTTTAATACTTTTGGATATTTTTCGGATCCCATAAAAACCATGCGCTGAAGGAAATGTGCCAGGCCTGGAAGTTCCGGTGGATCGCTAAAACTGCCTACTCCCACACATAAGCCACAAAATGCCTGAGTTTAAAAAATATCTATATATTTATACTATTCATGCGTTGCATATAGAATCTTAAATTAATATTATATAATATATTAAACACAAACAGTAGTGGGATGACTCGTGAATAGTTTACACGTTTCGAAACAAATCCATAAAAATTTGTTTATATAATAATAAGGAATTCACGTTTTGCAAACAAGATCTTCTGATATCTCCTGATATAACTGAGTGCTTTCCATTTGATGAAATAAATCGACACAAGTCGATATAAGTGTCGTTCTATCATTCTTGACATTCAGAGAGTGACAAAGATAGAACGACACTTGTGTCGATTTTTATCGACTTGTGTCATCAAATGGAAAGCACAAGCCTAATATCAAGCCTTACTGTACGTTCGATGACATGCTATTAGCGCTATGTTGCGACATTTTATCTTTTCACGTCTCATGAACAATAAAAATAGATCGTCACTATTGCACCAATAATGTTATTTAGAACGCAGTTTCGAAGAGATAGATTATTTTTTATAACTTTATCTCCGATATTATAATCCCAATAAATTTTTAGTAAGATTGTATAAAAAAAAAAAAAATACGTAAAATGTATTCTAAAATGCTAATTGAATTGTCATTTTATACCTTCCATACATCCGTATTAAGTCGTTTAACTGTAGAACTACCTTCTTCATAATCTTTATCGTCATAATTCGCTTTTTCCAATCCAGATATTAACAAAGCTGTTAAACCATTTTGTAGTTTAACGACTCTAAATTTGAAAGACAAAACAAGTAACAATAAGATGAAAAAATTCCTGAGGATATAAAAAACATTATTCTTCTTTGTATAAAGTACACTGTAACATTTCTCTTAAACAAATTATCATCGCAATAAATAATACATCTCATGCATGTTTCAATAGAAATCGTTTTTTTTTTTGTTGTTGAATCTTCGCCCCAGTCTCACCTATAATCGGCCTTATGATACTCGCCCGATATGTCAGGTGAATTCAGATATTCAACAAGAAATTTATTGCCTTTGGTCTTATGTTTGATTTCTGTCATTATATCAACATGCAAGAAACTAGAAATTTTGTGGATACAATACGATCGTAGAATTTTAAATAAGATTTTTATATGTTTCAACTTTCTTTCCAGTAGACCGTGTACAGTTTTAATCAATACTCTAGCTGACACTACTTCATACCAGAGAGAATCAAGGGAGGGTGGAACGGATTCGGCCGGCAGCTGCCGTTCGATGGAGCGAGTAAGAAATATGGTTGAAGCGTGATGGAATATATGTTGCACACACTAGTATTGTACCGCACTAGTATTGTGTATGTATATATACGTACATGCATACATGCACATTTACGGAAGTGAGTTATAAATGGCGAAATCAATCAGAGAAACGTTATCCGCTCCACTCTCCCTTGATTCTCTCTGCTTCATACTATTCTGTCTTAGGGGATGCTAAAGCCTCCTGTTTTATCCACATTTGCACACGATGAAAAATCTCCGAATTGAATTTACGGATTGCAAAAGTGTTATTACATAAATTAAGTACGCACAAACAGGATCTCCGCTGCACTGGATTTCATAAGAAAATCGAAAAAAATTCATAAAATTCACTTACTTTTGGAGAGCTCGTACAGTGTCATCTCAAGTATATATTTGCTTGATATAAGAGTTTTAGAGTCCATATGTTAAAAATAAGCGTGCAGCGAAAATTACATTATTAGAACGATATATAGAAGATCTTATAGAAGATTGAAGGTCTAGAAAAAAAGTATTTTCACCATGTAGAAAATACGTGCATACAGATGCTTTATGAAGACTGGGAATGTCAACAGAGCTGAAATTCCGTGTAGCAGTAGTTGTACAATCTTGTGATAGATGGTGTTGGCATATATTAGATAAGGATAAATATATGCGTTTGAGTAAGACAGAATTACGATATATATTATATAATATAATATAATGTAAGAAATGAATCAAAGATGCCAACACTATTATCGAATTTGGAATTAAAAAAATTACTACAACTTCGATCAAATTCGGTAATCGGTTTGGCATCCCCTTGATCAATACGGAAGTCAATTATTAACGTTTACACGGCACGCTTTACGCCGAAGTTATATAACATTGATTACTAAACTGGTTATGAAATGGGTATATCTACAAATTTGCATAGTCGCATAAACGTATGCATAAAGAAAATTATTCAATCATATTTTACGTGCAACTTTGTAAGAAAATTGGATAATTTTCTTTACACTTATGTTTATGCGGCTATGCAAGTTTGTATGGACATACCATAAAAGAAGACAATAGCAATGTTTGTATACACACTTAACATATACATTGGAATAAAGTGGAAATAGAAATAATTCTATAGGCATATAATATTATTTAATATTTTAAGCATATTCTTAGAATATTAAATGTACATTTAATATTCTAAAGATATGCTTAAAATATTAAATAATATTATGCGCCTATAGGAAATAAACAGAGTCATAGGTATCCAATATCCGGAAAATCAGAATTTCGGATTCAGCAATGAACACACGAATCCATTTCTATCTATTTCAATTCCCGAAACTTTGATTTTTATCATGTACTTTAATATATTAATCAAATTATTGATATATTAATATATAATTAATGTATAAAATTAAGAAATTAATTAAAAATTATTTAAAACCAAATTTCAAATTGTACACTTTGTCTACTCTAATGTAATACCTCTTCCATGTCAAATATGTAAAATTAATAAAACTAGTACTATTTATATTCGTCAAATAGTATCATTAAAATAGTATCAATAAAAATTTGGTCAAAATCCTTTTTTAATAATAAAAAACAGATGAAAGTTTACAATAGATTCACATAATATTAACTATATATGTAGAAAAAAAAAGAAAAAAAGGAAAAATGATAAAGAACAGAAAGAATTAATAAAAAATGAGATGATGCAGGAATATTGTAAATAATATAGCTATTTACAATAATGATTAAAATCACTTGAGGTTTGACTTAGCTACGTTTTATTCGTTTATTATTCTTTTATTTTCTATTTATCAACATATTGTCGCGATAATTTTTACATTGAATATCAAAGACAATATCTCATTTTTAGCAATTATTGTTTATAATTATTGGTATTTATTCAATAATTATTAAGCAATTCATTTATGTATTCTCTTTGTTTTTTCGTGTAAATCTCTTTTAAAGATAACTTCTAAAAATATTTATTAAATTATAAATATCTACAAATTATGCAAGAAAATAGAAAAGATATACAAAATTACAAAAATGTTAATAGGAGAGCAAACTGAATGTGCTGAATACTCGATTAAAATGAAACGTATAAATATTTATCGTAAGTCAATGATAATTAAAATATAATTTAGCTTTTTACAAAGCAATGACAAAGACATGTAAACCATTTCGTATTGTACTTGAATACAACTTTAGATTCAAAAGAATTCATTTCTAAAATTTCATTTCAATTCATTTTAATACAATTAAAAAAAAAATCAAATTCCTATCTTTTTTAAAATTGAAAGCTCCAAAAATTAAAAGTTACAAGCGCAGAAACTACTTATTCCTGATGTATTTCTGATTGATGTCATCTTTATAGATTATGCACTCACAAAATTCACAATTTAGCAGAATTTATAACTTTCTATAATGATAATAAACTAATTATAATTATAAGAGACTAAATATAATTATTTTATTATAATCTATCACTGTTGCATCATTATAATTGATGCCTAACGCTTAATATAAGGACTTATAGACTCGTCTTCTTTCTTGATAGCTCGCACAAGCGTCAGCGACAGCACTGCTATGATTACCTGCAATTATCATTTATAATTAGACGAAAGATAATTAGACGAAAAGTAATAGGAAACAATAAAAATTATTATTTATTAAATATAATGAAAGAAAGCTAGAGAGAGAGAGAGAGAGAGAGAGAGAGAGAGAGAGATTACAATTGATAAAATTAGTCAAATTTTCAGTACGTTTACTTAAAGAATAATAAAGAAAAGAAAAGATTTCATCTCTTACATGAAGCATACATAACGCCATCGCCATACCGGCAAGCCATCCCGATCTCGCTTCCAGAAACCAGGACAATTCCTCTACACAACCATGATGGAAAGCATTCCCTGTGACAGTGTCCCGGCATTCGGTGGGCAACGGTTTACGCATCTGTGTATAATCTCTTGGTCCATCAGCTCCGCAGCATCCGACCTAACGCATTCGTCAAAAATAGATACACATAATCGTACCCTTATGAAAATAAAAATCGGAGCGTAAATCGGGTGTAATGGAAGAGTAACCGAAGCTTGAACGAAATTTCTAGAAAGCGAAAATTGGAACAATGAAATGTAAAAGAAACATTTACGCTTCTTTTACATTTTGATGACTCTCTCATTGCATCCGATTTACGCTCTGATTTTTATTTTCATCAGAGTAATAAATAAAGACGCTCTTTTTTTCCTGTGATAGAAAAGCTCAACGTTTACTTACAGTTTCCTGGATTACTCGCAGAATGAAGCTCGCCGTTTCATGATGGGAATTACTGATAAGACTGTACATGGACCGTTCGATGATAGGTTGAATCTTACTGTCATACGTTGAATAATCGAGAATGACTGCCGCTCCGGTTAGACAACAAATGAAGCTGAACGCTTGCAGACCCACATGCTGAAATTAATTATAAAAGTTTTTTTATACAAATTTCTATTAAATTTTTTACAATAGCGAGAAAATTATTTTTAAATAATTCCTAAAAAAAATTGTTTATTGAAAATAAATATTTAAAGTAAAAATTAAATGATCGAGAGGGAATATACTTTGAAGAAAGTATCTTAAAAACTCTGTTACTTTAATATCTTAATTTGTAGAAAATATTTTTTAGACAATATATGTCATTAATCAGTAATTGAATTAAATAATCAAAGATTATTAAGAAGGATTAATTTATTATTAAAAAATGACTTTAAAAGATCTTTATTTTTTCTGAGATATATACTAATTTACATTATTTGCAAAAATCAAATTCTTAAGTATCTTGCAAATTTCTTCGCAATTATATTTGCAAAGTATCTTTACAAATACATCTGCAAAGTGTATTTATAATTTTCTTCAAAATGCTCCAAAATTCTGATGAAAAATTGTCTTCTAATTTCTGTACGAATTGAAACAGTTTATATCTTTTCTTAGAATTTTTCATATATGTGAATTCTGAACTGTTCTGAGATTTCTCATCCTATAATTTTTAAAAAATATTTTGAAATTTTTTAGGTTCTATAATATTTTATCAGATATTATACTTACAAAAAATAATCTTAGAAATCTTATGATATTTCATAATTATATATGAAAATTTCTAAGAAAAGAAGATTTTCTGAGAAAGTATTATAGATTTTCTGAGAAGTGTTCCAATTCGTATAAAAAATGCGAAAGTTATAAAATTATATAGAAATTCTGAAAAATTATATGAAAAATTCTAAGAAAAATTTTCACCAGAAAATGCTAAGCCAATTAATAACAACATATTATATACGTTCTTACAACGTATAAAGTTATGATGTGTTCCATAAGCGCGGCAGCGCAGCCGATGAAAGAAATGGCCATGACAAGCACTGAGGTAGCGATTAGTAAGTAAATTCCGATATAGAACTCGTACATGTTCAAAAACTCCACCCACTCCTCGAACATCGGTTCAAACCGCATCCAAATCGACAGTCCGAACATTGCGCATCCCACGATCTTTTGCCAAATAACAAGAACTTTGTTAATTGTACGATAAACAAAGGTGTAACAACAATAATTCTTTCAACAAAAAATCTCTCAAACTTCTTGTATTAATCGTGATAGTGTAATAGCGAAATAAAATTGTATTTTTTAAAGATTTTTTATTTATTAAATTGACTGTAAAATTTATTAATGAAAAAAATGATGCTTAAATATTGTTCCTCTCTTAAAAAATGATAATTAATTAAAGTTTTATAAATCGTTTGGATATTCAATTTTATTTAAATTGCTCAATCAATCTTCATGAATTCTATTGTTATTTAAAATTATTAATAAAAAATTTATATGTCAAATTTATTTATAATATATGAAAACAATAATTTAATATAATAATAATCGTGAAGCATTATTTTTTCAATCTCAAACGCCAATTTTTTAATTTGACTTTAATTTCTTCTTGTAACAAGATTAAATATAATCTAATTTAAAGAACTTCTCATTATTGAGAAATAAAATTAGATAGCTTTAAAAGTTAACAAAATTATTTAATATATTAATCTGTGTTTTATACATATATCTAAAAGAATGTAATTTATTACGAAGACAAATTTTCATTAAAGGAAAATATTCGATCCTCCTACCGAGCAAGAATAGAAAGGGATTCATGCTTTATGAAACAAATTCTCAATTTAGAAAACTGTTACATCCATTATTATTACAAAAGCTTTGCTTCCTTTTTTTGATTCACAATTATCATCTAATACAAATTGCTTTCTCTTTTTCATTCGTACATTTTTTTCAATTAATACCTAAAATAAATCGTAATATTATTTCACTATCACAGTGTAATTTCACAAGTCGACGTAATTATCGCGATAAAACCACGCACACCCACCCATATTATTGCGTTTAAACAGAAAATCGTGAACTTAATGCAACCGATCCGCTTCTCGAGAACCGGTCCGGAACTCTTGGCGACCATCTCCTTGCGTCCTGCGAAAGATATCCTCCGTCGCGAATTCACGTAAAGAAGGCGACTATTTCGGGAACGATGTAACACGATAAGAATATAATTAGTCAATCTAGAACGTCGACAGGTACCAGAATATCATCACCTAACGTTCCGGCGGTTTATCACTAGCAAATATAAGATAAGTGGATAAGAGCGTCCTAGATAAAGATATAACGCATGAGGTGAATCATTTCATTCGCGGTATGTGTAAGTAAATTATTAATGATTATTATTAATCAGGTAAGTATTACCACGATGTCCATTTCATTGTTCATGTTTCTTTTTAATTTCTTCTAGACAGACACTTCTTTTAAATCTCCAAAAAGTCATGTACATTGTGGATGTAAATGAAATAAAAAATCAGAAATCACATATTATTAAACTTATGATAAAGAAATTAAATTAAAGATCTTAAACTCTTTGAAAATCTTTATTATAATCAAATTCTCAAAATTACTGATACACAAATTATTGTTAATATATGATACTTTAAAATGTACACAATAAATATCATAAAATATGAACTAATCTCTTTCCTAGATAAATGTTATTAGTAATCATTAAGTAATATCGTATAATATTTAAACAAACATTAAACGCAACGTGGAAATTACATAGTATATATGCCATATTAGATATATATTTATTTACAATATTCCTTACAATATTCCTTACAAAATTAACGATTATATAAAATATAAGACATACAGGATTAATTTGTGCGAAATAAAAAAAATTAATAGAAATCTTCCTCCGTGGCTTTCGATACTGAAGTTTTATTTTTTATCTGTTCTTGATTATTGTACATATTTGCCACGTCTTGAGCGGAAGTGGCCTGCTCGCAGGTCTTATCCTCGCGGATCCTGATAAATCGTGGGAACCTTAAAGATATTCCCTTTTCCGGATCAACCTGAACAAAATAAAGATAAAATATACATATAAAATCTGTTTCTTTTAATTAAAAAAATATTTATTGAACAAACTAAAAATTCCCAAAAAAAAAATTAATTACAGGAACATGTTTATTATCACTATTTAATTAACCAAAATAGAATTAGAAAAAATATAGTGTATTCCATGTGTGTAATGTATGCGCAAACTGTTCGATGCGAATAAAAGATTTCCGGAAATGAAATAAATTATTATGTCATGCAATATGAATTTGTTTTAGCGCAATTATGATGAATTATATTTTTATGAATATTCGTAATTTACTCGTCTTTGAAAACCTAGGAAACTCACTATTCCGATAGCCGCTCTGTGTACAGGCGAAAGGGAAAGATCGGCACACTTGATCTCCCAAACTTGAACTGGTTCAAACCAGTGATCCGGTTCATGGCTGCTATCGAAGCGATAATACGATTTGACCTGTGGTACTATGTGATCCTTGAAGAATTTGGTATGATTTTCGAGATCATCTTCTTTGAATCCCGTACCGATCTGTTTACGAAGAAATAATATATCGCGCGCGTAGTGGTAGTATCAAGCAAAAGAAAAATATAATATGATAGTAGAAACTTAATTATAGAAATCACCTTAATTATAGAAATGCTTTATATATATTTTAAAAAACATCTTAATAAAAATATTATACATAGAAATATCTATATATGGACAAAATTTCCAATAATTATACATCTCTGGTTACTTTCACAAAGTCGAAGAAATATTTCAAAGACATACCTTACAAATGCTCTGGTACTCTTCATTTTCCAGATCATAACAAGCTAAGAGGAAACCACCATAAGTGCCGGTCCTCTTTCCTTTGCCGATGTAACCACCGATTACAACTACGTCGAGCGTATCGCCGACGCCATCTAAGTAGTCCTTTTTTAACTTCAGCCAGTTTCTCGATCGCTTCGCGATCTCATAGGTCGCCTCCTTTTCCAACGTCTTTACCATCAAACCCTCGCAATTTCCCTTCACAGATTCGTCCAAAAAAACTTCCACCTCTTCCATCGTCGAGGCATCTAAACTATTAGCGAATTTCCATTCGCCTTCCACTTCCTTGAAATGCTGTTTCAACAACTCACGACGTTTCACGAACGGTTCCTTCACTAATGGCTCGTCATTTAGATATAACAGATCAAACATAAACACACATACTTGTACTTTAATGTCCTCCTCATTAGCATCCTAAGAAGAAAAATGGAACATTACTATGGAAATTGTCACAACTATAATCTTAATAGCAATTACAGTCATTTAGTGACACTAAAATAATGTATAATAATTACAATCAAAATAATTAAAATTATAAATAAATGTATAACATGTAATTACTACCTTTCGCTTTCTTGTACTGAGTATTTGGAACGGTAAAATTTGTTTCTTCTCATTATCCCAAGCGACCGCCTCACAATCCAGTATACAATTCTTCACTTCATCACCGCGACTATTCTTGAATCGCTTAATGATATCTGGATACTTGGTAGTATTGTCCTCCTGATTTCTACTGTATATTTTTATTTGACCATTGTCCGCAACATGTATCTGCCGAATTGTAATTTTTTAAACAACTTGAATCTAAATTACTAAATTCTCAGCGAATTAATTTTCAAGTTCTATGTGCAATAAAATATTTTCTATCATACTATAAAATTTTCAAAGTTACATGTGAATAAGAACCTGAGCTCTTTCCCCGTCATATTTCCATTCACAAGTAAATTTCAAACCCTCAAATCGCGTTAGAACTTCTTGAACACCTTTAGTAGGATGCGCTAACATAGGTTTCAAGGGTATTCCAGGAGTAAGTTTGCACTTGCTCGGCAAGGTATTAATTCCATCTTCCAGCAAAACAGGAATTATAAGATTATAATTCGGACATTCACTGCAAAAAGATATAAGATTAGCGAAAAGGAAGAGAAACTTAATTGAATATATTAATCTTATTTCTAAATTAAAAAATAAAATTTTTAGCAAAATATTTATTTTAATAAAATTATGAGATACAATTAAATTATTTTAAATACAATTATGTATTTATATTTTATGTACATTTTATTTAATTATATATATTTCCTTCTTTTTAATTAAGGAAAATATTTTATTTCGACAAAAACATTACTTAATTTATTGTTTGAATATTTATAATATTTTCAAAATAATCTTACCAATACGTTGTTTTCAATATAAGCGCTATTTCATCATATTTCTCTTTGAAACGATCACTCGATATCTTTTTGCTTGCATTTAGAATTTCTGGTGGATACTTTTGTTCCGGAGGTGTCATTGCGCAAGCTAAAGCCAATGCCTAAGAAAATCCAGATGTTTAATAATGTTGATCAAAACTGTATAATATCGCAAACAACTTACTTGTAAAACAGATTGTTCCGCCAATCCAATGCGAAGCTTCCCAGCTAACAATCTAACTAAATATCTTGCTTCTGTATTTCGGCACGCTACAAACAGCGTCTGAATTTTATCCAACTTTTTCGATAGAGACTGTAGAACAAAAAATTTTATTTTACGTAAATATAATACAGTTTGCGATTTATTTATTCCTATATAAATATTTCAATTTCTCGTTTAATCTTTTTCTGAAATCAAATATATATCACACAATCTTTATATTTCTCGTAATTCTTTTTTAATTAATTAAAAATCAAAATTAATTCAAATAGAAAATTTTTTAATATAAATTAATTTTTAATTTATAATATCACGCGTAGACGAGATACAGATTACTAAAGCCATCTATTGGAAAAATAATGGATTTCTTTTTACTACACCTAATATATAAACTTAAAATTTCTTAAGTCTTTATTTTTTATAATTTAAACCTCGTTACTCTGTAATTTTTTTTTAATTTTACATATTTATATTAATCATAAAAAAATCATAATTATGTTGCATGTGTTACCGCATGTCCTGTCATCTGAGCAATTTCCATCAATCTGGAGTATACATTGGGAACTGTCAATGGCGCCGGTTGAAACATAGTTCTCTGATTAGATTTACTATTTTCCGCTATAATTCCCAAATCGCCAACCTCCTGGACATCAGCTCTAATTTGCGCCAGTGTTCTCCCAGTACATTGCGCTATCGCCTTCATCAGATTCGTATCAGCGATTCCAAACTCAACTCCTAAAATTTAAATAGTTATTTTTAGATAAACATTAATTGCTTTCTTCTGAATTTTGAATAATCAATGTCATTATTAACCTTCATACGCTGGCGCTAATTGATTAAGGCACAGATAAACGCTCGGCAAAAGATCCTCGGGGCTCAGAACTATGACAGACCGGAAGTAATTTGATAGTATCTCTATTATCTTTAATCTTGCACTAGTTTCTTCGATGATTTCCAAGGTGCGCGCGAATGCGCTATATGGAGTTCTGTAAGCGAATTTCAAAGGGAGAAATTTTTAAATATCGCTAAAGTCTTACAAAATTTTCATGGTTTCTTATAATAAAACAAAATTATATTTCAGCTCACTTGTCCCCTCGTTTCCAGCACGCATCGTCTATCGGATGATAGACAGACGCGCTGGGATTGTAAGATTGGTTGGCACTTTTTCCATTGTTCACTTTGTCACCTTTCGCGTCGCCCTTTTGCTTAGACACTGCAACACAATTTCAAATAACTGTTCGAAATATAATATTTAAAGCGTATACTATTCTTTAAATTCATTTAAATCTGTATTTTAAAATTCAATCCGCAACTTTTTCAAAGTACTCTTAAACTGTTGAATACTTACTAAAAAAGTTGGGCACTTTCTTAGCCTTTTTGTTAGGAGTAGGCTCTTTCTTCGGATTTTCATCCTTAGAGGGAGTCTGGGATTTCTCGGGTGTAGATTCTTTCTTTGAACTTTCATTCTTAGAGGGAGTCTCCGAGTTCTCAGGTGTAGACTCTTTCTTCGGATTTAGATTTTTCTCTTCATTGTTTGAAGCACTTTCGTTTGCGTCATTATCAGAAGCGTTATCAGAAACATTTTTATTTATGTTGCTGGACTTGTCTACACTTTCAGTCTTCTTCTCCTCATTGTCAGTCTCTGATTTTTTTGGACTTTCAGGTAACTATAATCATTTGTATGTATAAGAAAAATTTATAGAATACTTAAAAATTTATAGAGTTTAACCGAAATCACATTTTGATTTCAAGCCAAAAACAAAACTGAAACTGAAACTTAAATAAGTCTTAAGAAAAAAAATTTTAAAGAGTTTGAACTTACAGGTAGGTGAGTCTCATCATCACTAGAATCTACCAGTTGCACTATCTTGGACCATTTCTTTTTCGCAGACTTCTTTACTTTTTCTACCTCATTAGACTTTAATTTCTTCGTTGAAAATGTAGATTCTTCTTTTTTATTTTTCTCTTCAGTTATACCGTTTTCTATATGATTATTCTTCTCTTCAACATCATTTATATTTTCAGCCTCTTCCTTCTTTTTCTTTTTACCAGGGGTATCTTTCAATTGCCTTTTTTCTGCCTTTTTTGATGCTCCAGGGGAAAGCTTACTAGGCTTAATTTTTGGGGTAGCTCCTTAAAAATAATTACAGAGATATATCATAGTTGAAATATTTATAGTTTAACAGAGTAATTACCTAGTTTGCGAGGCTTAACACTTGGCGAAGGTGTCTTGGAAACCGTCTTTGACTTTGTACGTTTAACATTATTCGAAGGTGAACTACAAAACCGATTTATAAGAAAACAAATAAATACAAACAGAGACTTTTAATAATTTAAAATATTAATGCTTCAACATATAAATTATTGAATTTAATCACCTGGAACTGTTGCTGCTATCTCTTTTCCGTTTGCCATTCTCCGTTGCATTCTGATTTTGTTTGTCTGACAAGTTGTGGCTGTTGGTTGTATGTATCCAATTAAAAACAACAAATCGAGTGTGAGCTGCGACTGCGAGCTCTAGCCGTCGAATCGGCAAAGCCAGCGAGCTCAAGCGCGAGCATGTAGTGAGGATTTTTAGCATAATCGATTATCATAAAGAAAGAGAGAGACTATTAATAGTAAAACATACCTCTCCGAATTATCCTGGCCTGAATTCTCGTTCTTGGATGATATCTTAGTAAAGAAAGAACTATAAAGATAAAGCAAATGACAAACATTTATCTATATACAAATAATTATTATCTTAATTAATCGAATCGTGTATTTATAATTATAGATTAAGTTATGTCAAATTGTTAAATAATTATTATATTTACTCACTCTATACGACGTTGCGCCATTATTATTACGCTTCTACGCCATACGTGTTTGACAGATTTCCCGCGTTTATTTCATGGCGTGACAATGACATAACCTCACTTTCATAGATCAAACTATACTATACGTAGATAGAAAAGTCTGATAGCATCAATGCCGACACACTAGCGCCAATTGAGGAAGTGAATATCAACTACATAGCAACATACAATGTATATTTCAATCGATATTTTTGTTACTTGGTTCCTGTCTGTGCTACATTCACTTTCAAATTATATACTGCATTTATACATAGACTATAATAATTTACATATATATGTATATATAGTATGAACTTACACTGCTTTTATTTGTAGTTTTATTTTACAAATAAAATTAAGATTTTAAAAAAGGGATAAATTGACTGCTGCTATAACTGAGTCTGATAATCATTGAACAACTCAGGTCCAGTTCCTGCACGAATGTAAGAACTTTTTTCTCGATTTCTTGCTATTTACCTTTTTCTAATTCTTAGAAAAATTCTTACTTTGTAGAATTAAAAAAAAAAAGAATAAATTGAACATAAATTGAAGTTAATCTTACACTTGTGGAACCAAGCCTTACAAATGCAATGTAGAAGAATCATACTCTTAAATCAGAGATCGATTTTGAAACGTTTTGGTTGTATTGAAACATAAAAATATCTTATTTGTAAATACTTAACTTTATTTAACAAATAACAAATACAAGTCAAATTATATCGAAGGTTCCACAATTAGCTTTAATTTCACTGACGTTCGAAAAGCATGTCGCAGTTCCTGTTCTGCCATAACAGCGACTTGACTTATTCTATTATTTCTACCGCGTATTAATAGACGAGCGATGCGTTTGTTGGGACATGTAATGGATACCAGTGCATTAACAGTGTCGTCGGGTGCTGAATCAAAGTGCTCTAACTTCACCAATAAACGATAAGGAACCTCGTTCGGTAGAATGTCTAGCAGCTTTGCTCTTACTGTCTGCCATATTATATCTTGGCATGTATTATCACTGTAAATATGTCCTTCATATTCCCAGGCTCGTGGTTTAGCTGAGTCTAACAAGTAAGTCTGCAAAACATAAAAAAAGTAAAGGAATCTAGATGTTACAATATTTCAAATATTGGAAATTATAATTTCTAAGAATTATGTTATAAATTATAATTTATTATCACTTGTGTCTAATTCTTTACAGTAATCACAAATTTACCCTCAAGTCGTCAACACCGTCCCCAGTCAGAGCAGATATCATAAATACATCACAGAAATCCGGAGACTTCTTGCTTTTGGTTAAAGTGTATACAAAATCTAACAATATCTCCTTCTTCTTTATTCTGTCCACCTTGTTAATGACCAGAATTATAGGAATCTTCTTTTTTATATCTTCCGTCAAAAGTTCTAATATATTTGAATCAATTTTATGTCTAGTATATATATTTTCTGCATTCTGCACAATTCCTATAATATCTGCCATATTCAAGGAGGTTTTCTGATCTTTTCTGAAGCTGTCGGCTAACTTGAACTTTTTACTTTCAGTCAGGGAAACCATACCAGGCGTGTCCATAAATATAAGCTGAGTATCACCTTCGCAATAAATTGCATGTGCTTTGGTCTGTGTGGTGTGTACTTTGCAGGATACGGGGCATATCTAACAACATAATATAAAAAGAAATATACGTATATATAT